AATATTAAATCTTTCCTTTATTTATAGTCTCAGTATGACCAACCGCTTTCGCGAATACTTTAGAAACTCAATAAGTTCCTTTGAGACTTACTACAACACAATATCTTATTGATAATCAATTTTATTTCTCCAAAATAGTGGTAATTGACTCTTCCAGAGCTCTCAATTAGTTTTGTACTACCACATATTCATCAACATCCATATGGTCATATATCTCTTTCAAGGAGAAAGTTATACCATTATGGTACGTGATAATCACATTGCCAAATTTTGTCCTTTAATAATCACATTGCTAAAATATTTTGGCGTACAATAGGTACGTGACCAATGGCCATTCATGCCATAATAATGACATTATTTTCTTATATCATCTCAAACCTCCTTCTAGAGGTGAGTGTGATATATTCGCTACCACTAGCGCGTTCATATTCTTTGAAGAATGAATATGTATTCATAAATCAAATGTTGTCACATTCACATCATGAATGGACCATAATCATCTATACGTGCTTTATAAAATCTCATGTCAAATCAATGACAAATATTTTGAGAATCCTTATTATTCTCATTATCACAATGATGACCATTATAATTTTGTCTATTGTCACGTCCACATCCATTGATACCTTCACGGTAATAATTTTATCTTCTTTCAGACTTATCACATACTGCTATCACATTCTCTTAAGGGAATGAGAATTGAGCAAATTTAATGGGACGGGTTTTTAATTTTTTGCCCACAATCATACATGAATTTGATCATGGCAAGGCATAGAAATTTTACCATTTTAGGTGGTTATAATTTCTTTCAAACTCTATTAGAGTTACAATCAAAATTTATCGTCTTTGTTTGTATTTAAAATCAAATTGTAGAATGTCAAGAATTTGAAAGAGAAAATTAAAATGTTTACCTTAAATCCAGAATTTAATCATGAAAGAAGTTCATGAAACAATTGACAATCATTATGCTCAATCCCAAAGCTTCTACTCAATTGATTAGAGTCTCGTGCTGATAACGTGTTATGAAACAATAAAAGGACAAGAACAATATTGCAGAGAAAGAGAGGGAATTCTTATTGAATTTTTGGATGAATTATAATGGAATAGAACGTTCTATTTATAGGGTAAAAGTGACTTAGCCATCAAGTAACAAACCTTCAAATCTCTCTAAAATATAGACATTCACCTTAAATAGAATTCTATTTACAAGAGAAAACTTTTTCTTTTAAATCTTAGGAAGATTTATTAATTTTGCCATCAAAAAAAACTTGTCTCGTCAAAAAGTCAACTTGAGAAAACAATTGAATCATTTTAATTTACTACTAGTATTTCTTATCTACAGGAGTAACAAATGGAGTTTGGCTTTTTTTTTATTTTTAAAAAGAAACAAAAAAAGGAAGGTTTGATCATCATTAAATGTGCAGAGTATGGAGAACAGCAATATGGACAGTAAATAAGTGAGAGTTTAATCCGTTGACAAAAGTAAGAAAATATTTCTTTATTGTTCTTTTTATTGAATGTCTCAAGTCGGGTATTTTCATGTAAAATAAGATAGACATTTGGATGTCTACGAAAAGTAGGTTTTTCCACATGGGAGGTTTTGTTATTAGGCTGCGTAGCCACAGCAGAACCATCCACAACAGCTGTACAGAAAGCTGTGAGAATATATGAAAGAAAAAAGAGAGCGAGAAATAATAGAAAAGGAAAATATATCTCATAAATTACAAAAAGAGAAGAATTAATGCATATAGTAGGAAACTTGAACATGCTTGAACATGTTAGAAATTTCAATATCATTAATGAAAGTTGTGTAGAGTCTAATGTCTTATTGACCTTATTATTAAATTCGAATAAATGGGTTCCAATGCCAGCTTTGCTTAGTTCATCATTAATTGTTACATCTATTAAATGCAATTTTTTATTATTCTAACAATTTTATGGTGCCAGCCACCGAATACCACCTCTAGGTTCTCTCTGGCTATTTGAAACATGTTTTTTCTATCAAATACTATGGACTTTTACTTCAATTAATNTTAAATTCGAAAAAAATGGGGTCGAATGCCAGCTTTGCTTAGTCATCATTGTTGAATCTATTAAATGATTTTTTTTATTATTCTATTTGGAACATTTTTTTCTATCAAATACCATGGACTTTTTATTCAATTAATCATGTGCTTTGTTATTGAATTGTCTTCTAACAACAAGCCTTTTTTGGAGATAAAATTGCACTTCACCGAAAGGCTAAAATGTCAATGCTACAATAGCTTATAGTATTAAATAAGCATGAAACTTATGTATTTAATAGCTTCGTAATTGAGTTGTCATCATATATTTCACATGTTCTATATTTTGCTTATTTTGAAAAAAAAATTCTTTCCTTCTTCTCTATCGGATCTTTTTTCACACAAAAAGATAGTGATAAACATTTTGTTTTATTAGTTGTGACAATTATATAGATGAAATTGATGTGAGAGTTTCAACCTTCCTATATTAAATATTTCAGTATATTTTGCCTAAGTTAGTGTATTCAAATGATAATTTGACTTGTTAAATATTAGAGTGTGAGTGTTATACGTATGTGTTGAATGAGACGAGGCCAAAAAGAAATTGGGAATACTTGTACGTGCATTGTATACGAAGTTGCTTTTAGACAAAAGCTTCATTATTAAGTTGCCGGTTAATTAAGGCTAATCAATGTCATTGCACAATTTGCATTTGGTCTTTTTCTTTTTCTTTTGGGGATAATAATCTGCAAATTGGAATCAATCATCTCCCTGCAATAATCTCCGACCCTACCCTTTGGACCCATCATCCCACATTTCTTCAAGAATAATTAAAAAAGAAAAAGGCGTAATTGCAGACAGAAAAGATGGATTATCATCTTAGTCCCAAAAGCAAAATAAATTAATTAAAGAATAATAAAAGGGGCATTTGAATTTATACCCGCTTTTTGAATCACGTTTTAACTTGTGTCCGCTTTGCAAAAAAAAATTACAAGCGTACCCACTTTTTCGCTTAACTTCAGCATACGGGGCTGAAGTAGCAAAGACAATCACGCAAACCTTCAGCATTTTAGTATACAGAACTGAAGTAGCAAGTGTGTTGAACCAAGTGTGCTGAAGTTTTTGTTTTGTAACTGGCGAACTTCAGCTCTAGAGTTTTTGTTTTAGCTGAAGTTTTTGTTTTAGCTGAAGATTTTGTTTTGTAACTGGCGAACTTCAGCTCTAGAGCTGAAGTTTTGTTTTGTAACTAGCGAACTTCAGCTCTAGAGATGAAGTTTTTGTTTTGTAACTGGCGGACTTCAGCTCTAGAGTTGAAGTTTTTCTAATTTGCTCTTGTCTCACACATGAAAATGTGTAAGCTTCTATATTCATCTCTAGTGCAGACTTTCTTTAACAAACCTACTTAGACGTGATATTTCCAGTTAAATGAAGGTGCACATTCTAGCACTGAACAAGGAAAGCTTCAACCTAAAAGTTTTTAATTAAATCAGGGAGGTTTCAACCTAAAACTTCGAATCTTTAAAACATTTATAAAGACAATGGATACACCACATAACAAAATTTTGGCATGTATACCTGAACCGAAATTCTCGTCTCATTGTACACAGAGGACAAGATTCCTAGTAAAAAGGGTATCCTCTATATGATTCGAGCCAAAAACTAACCTTAAGATTTTGCAGAGCAAATAGAATCTTAAATAACGAATTATACCTCTAAAAACTATGATGTAGCAAAGTATGTGGATTGTAGAGCTTTCCTTGTTCAGTGCTAGAATATAGATGCTTACACCTAAGAAGAAACAAGAAGAAGAAGAAGAAGAAGAAGAAGAAGAAGAAGAAGAAGAAGAAGAAGAAGAAGAAGAAGAAGAAGAAGAAGAAGAAGAAGAAGAAGAAGAGGGAGGAGAAAGGGGGCTGAAGTTGTTTAAAAAGTGGATACAAGTTAAAAAAATTTAAAAAAATGGATATAAGTTAAATGGGGGCGACCAAATAGGACGCCCCGTGCAATTTTTACATAATAAAAAGTGAACCCTCAATTTTTTTCTTAACTTTAAAATTTATTCAGTACTCGTGTAATTATAACATTTACATAACCTAAAAACCAACAACAGAAAAGTGTCTATCCAAGTATATGCTCATAATCTGGAGGAGGTGGGCAACTAATAATTAGAATATATTCTAGGTATAAATACATAAATTTAGTATATAAACTATGAGTCCGTTTGGACATAAGAAAAATTTTTCTTTTTCCAAAAAATTTTCACTTTTTTCCGAAATCATCGTTTGTTCATAAAAATTTTAATTTTCACTTGATTATGCATTTTAAAAATTTTCTAAAATTTAAAAAACTCCAAAAAGCGATTTTTCAAAATTTAAATCACTCACAAAATTTCAAAAACAACCCAAAATTATATTCATGTCCAAACGCAACTTTAAATTTCAAATACCATTTTCACTTGAAAAAAATTTCCACCCTATTTTGGAATTTTACAATTTTTATGTCCAAACCCCCACTATAAATATATATATATATATATATATATATATAGTCGTGATGGTGTCTATCCTGAAACTAGGTCAGCCGACACAACTCCCAAATTAACCATTTATCAATAAGAATCATGTTTAAGCCTTTAATTTAAACAAATGTTTCATAATATAAGTCTAAATGAACAGTGCGAAAATAATATACAAGCCCAACATCGGGGTGTCACAAGTCACAAGCATTTTGAATACAACGGAAAAATCTGAAAATGTACTAAATATAGTCTAATGAAAGTAAGAGGGAGAAAAGTTGTGCTGCGAACGCCGGTCAACTACCTTGCTAAACTCCGATGACTTTGACTCTGAGCAATCGATACCCGCTACCGGGTTCAAAAAATACCTGAAGATGCAGAAAGTAATGTGAGTACTCCAACTTAAGGATATTATCTAAATGTTGTAAAAAAAAAAAAAAATCATCATGATCGTATAAAATTGTAAGTCGGACACTCCTACCTTTTACTAATGCATCTTAAGTTGAACAAACAAAAAATTGTTTTAATGTCATTCTTAGTGTGAACGCACATTGCTATTATCGCCTTATATGGTACTGCTATAGAGGGTGAATAATATATACCACCAAAAAGACATACTCACAACAGGAAGCACCGCTCCCATTGACTCATGCATCCTTTCTCCTCTCCCCTATTTTCTTCTTAACTAGTTCCCTCCAATGCCCTGTATTCGCCGGAAAGTTTTGAACAGTACAGCTTTTCATTTCTCTTGCATATATATAGCCTATTGAAATTGAGCATAATATAATTGTTGTATATATATATTATATTGTATGTAAAGATGAAAGAAATTGTATCAAAATCATCTTTCACAATATCCAAATGCATCTTTTTCGGTATCCTCATATCAATACCTCTCCTCCTTTTTCTCTCTCATCGGAATTCTTTCTCCGCCCTCATCTCCACCACCACCACCACAATATCAAACTCCGATTCGGATCTCAAAATTCGACCTGGATACGCTACCTACGATTCCTACATCCAGAAACAGCTCAACAAGACCCTCAATCCGAAACTACGAAAAATATGGACAACCCGTGACTGGGACCGGAAAATTCAAGTTTTCTCAAAATTCTTCGGCCAGCTTAAAACTAGGAGTCTTCTTTCAGATTCATCGAAAGTGCTCTGCATTGGTGCCCGCATGGGTCAGGAAGTTGAAGCGCTGAAGCGGGTCGGAGTATCCGATTCGATCGGAATGGATCTTGTACCGTACCCGCCGTTGGTAGTGAAGGGCGATTTTCATAATCAGCCGTTTGAAGATGAGACGTTTGATTTGGAATTTTCTAATGTTTTTGACCACGCGCTTTATCCGGAGAAATATGTGTCGGAGATCGAACGGACGTTGAAGGCCGGAGGGTTTTGTGTTTTGCACGTGGCGTTATCTAGACGGGCTGATAAGTATTCGGCGAACGATTTGTACAGTGTTGAGCCGTTGAAGAAACTGTTTAAGCGGTCCGAGTTGGTTCATACTCGAACCATTGATGGATTCGGTTTGGATACCGAAGTTGTTTTCACGAAAAAGAGTTGATCGAACCGGTTCGGGTATTTTTTTTTTTTCTTCTTCTTTCTTTCCAGGTTGGAGTAATGCTGGACATTAAATTCTTTTTGGACTTTAGTTAGTAGTTGTAGGACAATATAACTTTTATTCTTTGAAGAACAAGTTGGGTATCCTTTTTGACTTTTTGGTTATTGCTATGTTTCTTTATCATTATTACTTCTATTTTTAAACAAAGAAAAATAATACAAAAGAACTTCATTCTTATTTTTTATTTTTGTCATTTGGTAATAGCTCCAATCCAAAGACCTTCTCCCTAACTACAAACTGAAATGGTGAGAGTTCTTTTTTATCTTTTAAATATAAATATTTTAGTAATAGAATTACCTAAAATCAGAAATGTGCAATATAACTAGATCTCAATTCCAAGCAAATTAAAATTAACTAGGGCTCAATTCCAAGAAGATTAACATTAGTTATAGCATTAAATGTTTCTTATATTTTACACTGACATTTTCAATAGTTTTATGTTAATTGTCAGTTTATTGTAATGCTTCTCTTTTATGGGTTCTTTGACATTTTTTACTGACGTATTCTATAGTTTTATATTAGATGTCAATTCATTATTCATTGTAATGCTTCTCTTTTATGCGTTCTTTAACATTTCTTACATTTTTCAGTGGTAAAATAAGCAAAGCTCGTAGATGTTAGGAGTGTAACATGAAGAAACAACAACAAAATTGATATAGTTAAATTCAAAAGAAAAGACTAGCATGAAAAAGTATTCTATAAGAAATGAAATTCATTTGTCCTACGCTTTTGAGAAAAAGAAAGGTAGCTAACTAATACTTACTAAAGAGAGGAAGGATTCTTAGAGCCTGTTAGGCCAAGCTTTTGGAAAGCCCAAAGGTACTTTTTTCTATTAAAAAATTTGAACTGTTTGGCCAAGACGGAGAAGTACTTTTGGCCAGCGCCAGAAGCAGTTTTTCTGCTTTTGGGAAGAAGCAGAAAATTCTAGCTTCTTTCAAGAAGCAGAAGCAAAAAGTTAATTTATTCAAGACAAATCTATCCTCACTATAAATTTATATTGTCCAAATTATCCCTTGTTGATTTAAGTTTTTTTCTTTTCATTTTTGTTTCTGGTTTTTACCATTCTTTTAAAAATTAAAGATATCATATATATGAATCATATTGTAACTTTCTAAACTTTTTATTGATTTTTCTTGTTTTTTATTTTTTGTTTGTGTAATGTCTTGTAACTTTCCAACTTATTTTCTTCTTTTTTCATATTAAAGTAAATTATCTACATCCTTCTCTAGATTATCAATTCTCTTCCTATAAATAATTATTTTGTAATTTCTTCTGTTACATGCTATTAGTTCCCGAATCTTTAAAACAGTTATCAAATCTAATTTGTGAAAATTACCTACAAATAGATAATAAATTTATAATAGCATTGTACAATCTATCTATATTATTATTAAAGAAGAAGTGGCAGCCTCACAATAGGCTATTTGACAATTTAGTACAATGTTAGTTAGGTTAGGTAATAATTAATTTTTTTAATAATTTTTTAAAAAACTAAATTATACATTATGTGTTGTTAATAATTAGTTATTTTTTTGAATTTGAATTAAACATACTTAACTTTTTTTTACGAAAACAATTTATTTTAAATATATTTCTATTTTACGCTTAATGCCATCTTTCAAGTTTGACACTAAGAATCATCTAGTTACAACTACCATGGCTATACATAATTTCATCCGACAATATTCTTCTAACGATAAGGAATTCAACTATTATACTAATACAGACATTACTGCAGAGATTGAGGAAGAAGATGGGCCTTCTGGTATTCCTTTAGAAATGCAAGGCAAGTCTTCTATTAATATGAAGGCGTTGTGCGATAGACGTAGATATGAAATTATTGAGAAATGTTATCACATGTGAGTGACTTTATTTATTATTTCATGGTGGGTTATCAATATATAGTAATTTGTGGAATAGACTTCTAATTCATACTGAATGATGTATTTTGATTATTCAAGTCATCATGTAACAATAAGTAAATATACAAGATAATATTATATGTTTTGGTATAACTATATATTTAAAATTGATTTAATTCTTTAATACGTATGTTTACTTTATGTTTCATATTTTAATTAAATAAAATAATAAATAATAAAAGTATCTTATGATAAATATTTAAGTTTATAATTCTCTTTAAAATAATTATAAGACCTTTGTACTATCCTTTTTGGTAATTTGACACTCAAAAGCACTTTTTAGAAAGATTGGCCAAACACAATTTGTTTATCAAATATTACAAAAAATACTTTTTAAATGAATTAGCCAAACACAAAGTATTTTTTTTTCAAAAGTACTTTTTTCAAAAGTATTCAGGGGATCGGGAGATCAACGAGGATGTCACATACCGTATAGGGGTGGGGTGGATGAAATGGAGGTTAGCATCGGGAGTCCTATGTGACAAGAAAGTGTCACCGTTACTAAAAGATAAGTTTTATAGAGCAGTGGTTAGGCCTGCCATGTTGTATGGGACTGAGTGTTGGCCGGTTAAGAACTCACACATCCAGAAGATGAAAGTAGCAGAGATGCGGATATTGAGGTGGATGTACGGGCATATAAGGATGGATAAGATTAGGAATGAAGATATTCGAGAGAAGTTGGGCGTGGCCTACATGAAGGACAAGATACGGGAAGAAAGACTCAGATGGTTCGGGAACATTCAGAGGAGGAGCACTGAGGCACCAGTGAGGAGGTGTGAGCGACTAGTTGTGGTGGGCATGAGGAGAGGTAAAGGGCGAACTAAAAAGTATTGGGGAGAGGTGATCAGGCAGGACATGGCGCGACTTAGGATTACTGAGGACATGGCCTTTGACAGGGAATTGTGGAGGTCGAGCATTAAGGTTGTAGGTTAGGGGGAGATTGTAGATATTTCTACGGCGCACCAGAGTGAGACTAGCCAGTTAGGAGTTAGTTTTAGGATGTTAGTGGTCATCTACTGATGCAGGGCTTTATCTGCTGGTTATTATTATACTTTCTATCTATTTCGTATTTCTTATATTGCTGTTATTTTATTATGATTCTATTGATGGTACTAATATATCATTTCTTGTTGCCTTCTTGAGCCGAGGGTCTCCTGGAAACAGCCTCTCTGTCCCTCGGGGTAGGGTAAGATTTGCGTACATATTATCCTTCCCACACCCCACTTGTGGGATTATACTGGGTCGTTATTGTTGTTTTTTCAAAAGTACTTCCGGAAAGAAGTACTTTCCAAAATAAGCAGATTTTGGCAGCTTGGCCAAACGGGCTCTTATAGCCTATTTGGCCAAGCTGGAGAAATCAACTTATTTTGAGAAGTGCTTTTGAAAAAAGTACTTTTGGAGAGAAGCAGTTTGTGTTTGGCTAATCAGTCTGAAAAACACTTTTGAGAAATAATTTGTGTTTAGCCAAGCTTTTTAGAAAGTGTCAAATTACGAATAAGGACATGAATAGATTTACTTAATAATTAATATTATAAGTAAATAAATAATATCAAAATTTTGTTACATGCAATAATTAAAAAAAATTCATTTTATTTAAGTAAAATATGAAAATAAAATTAAAAAGTACTTAATTCTTTTAATATAAATTAAATATATTAAAATTTCTTCAACAAATATAAAAACATTCACCCCTAAAGTCACTATATATTAGAAAGTTCCTAAAAATAAGAAGAAATATTTATAAATTAATATCCTAAGTATTAGGTCTAAGGGTTATTTTGGTATATACTATATTTTGTTAAGGGTATTTTAGGTAAGAAGAAAAGCCAAAACTGCTTCTGCTTTTGGAAAGAAGCTACTTTTTTCTGCTTCTCTGAAGCTTCTTCGCAAAAGCACTTTTTTTTCCCAAATAAGTTTGGCCGAACACCTCAAATTAGAAAAAGAAAAGTGCTTTTGAAAAAAAAAAACACTTTTTTTCTCTTGAGAAGCTTGGCCAAACAGGTTATTAATGTCCAACGGAAGTGGAACGGTGATTGCTGAACATAGAATAAATTACTCATTTGTTCAATCAAAGCATGATGCGTCAACGACGGGCACAAGATTTCTTTATGTCTAATTGTCAATATCACTTTCGGCCATGAATGCTGGCTAAGCACTCAAATTGGTTTCTGACTTTTTTCTTTTTCTTCACTTTTCTAATCCCCTTAAATGGCTCATATCAGTCGAACCTGGTTTAATCAAACCAGTAAGTTTCTTCTAATACAACAACAACAACCCAGTATAATCCCACTTAGTGGGGTCTGGGAAGGGTAGTGTGTACGCAGACCTTACCCCTACCCTAGGGTAGAGACTGTTTCCAAATAGACCACCGGCATCCTTCCCTCCAAGAACTTCCCACCTTGCTCTTGGGGAGACTCGAACTCACAACCTCTCGGTTGGAAGTGGGGTTGCTTACCATCAGAGCAACCCCTCTTCTAATACTAAATGGTTAAACAATCTGCCACGTGTAGTTCGTCAACCACAGCAAAGGTACCTTTCTTTAGGTTTCAACTATTGAATGAATTACACAGGCACAACGTAATCAATATCAGACAAAATTCCAAAACCAGAACCAAAATCACGTCATGTGCATGAATATAAATCGGTGTACAATGTAAACCTGATTAACCTTTAGTTAATGATAGTAATACATAAGTACGTACAGGCCAAAAAAAAACTTTTCTCCTTGTTTTTATTTTTCTTGTTGCTTCGGAAAGCCCAAGGTGACAGACGATTAAAGAGGGAGGAGGGTGCTATGGACGGGTGATTTTGTACCAAAATTTGGGTTTGGGTTCAGTTCACCCGCAACCAAGGAGAGGGAGTTACTGGTTCCAAGCGTCTGCTAGACTATCAGGGACAACATCAACAGGCTGACTTTCTTCATCTTGACTTTGAGCAGCTATAACCTTAGCCTTCTTGAAACGGCTAGAGCTTCTCAGGATCATATCTATGGTTATGTCCTGACCTAAAAAGCTGTTGGAATATACAGTGTGATCATAAGCACCAAGAATTTCATAAATAAATAAAAAATATACATGGATAACTTAGACAAACTCATTGTCTATTCCATCTGTGCTAAATCATTTGCTCTAACACAAGAGTTTCTGACATGCAAATATTCCCATCCCATCTTATAAGACTCAAGAGTATAACATTGGAAACATGTCATCCTTAAGTTTTCTCCACCTGTCATTAACAGCCTTTACCAATCACAGACACTCATTTAACTGTTGTGCACAAGTGACAGTCACAAAGTAGAGGAATGAAAGAGATAATAGCTTTTGAGCAAGGAAAAAATTTACTTAGTACAATAATTTGACATAATATTTTATGGCAGCACATACAGGCAGAATTTACCACCAGATCAAGCTACTGCCTAGTGGTTAAGAGCAAAATTCAGAACAAATAGTAGGATAAAGAATTTTACCATTCAAAAGCCATAATCTACCGTTAGAAAGAACCACGTGTAACTAAAGAAAGTATGGACACAATCCCAGCTTGCACATAGTGGTGAATTTGTAGAGAAAGGAATAGAAGATTTGTTGACAATGAAAAGTAGTCAATTTTGAATGTCAAATCTGAAGGTATTATGTCGATATCTTTTTAGTGTAGATTAGAATGGGTAAATGATGCTGAAACGTTTTCCAAGTTCATAGAATCTCTTGTATAGGCAATCTGGTAACTTTTCTCAGTTTTTCACTTGTAATATTTTGGATGCAACCATAGCACCTCCTTAGTGCTGATTTAAACATTGATGCACATTTAAAAAAAGAACCATGTTTAACTAAGGGCTTTAAGAAAAAAATTAAGAGATCTCACACTTACTTTGATTTGACCTTACGCTTTGCACCAGCATCGTCGTGTTTTGCAACATTAGCTCCTATCAAGTCAACATAGGGAAGTAGAAATTAGCTTATAAACGGAATGAAGAATGGAGAACAAGAAATTATAGAATGTATTTGTGATATATGTTGCATTGATTTTTTATCCATCAGCAAAAAAAAGGAGTCCTTCTCTATATGGCCAACTATAGAATGTACTTGAGATATATGTTGCATTGATTTTTTATCCATCAGCAAAATAAGGAGTCCTCTATATTATCATAGGAATGATTAAGCCCATAAAGTAGAAATGAAGAACTTCCCATTTTCCTTTAAATCCTAGCGGCTAGCCTGTCAGGGGAGGAGGATAGGGTAGGAGTTGATTCGGTGCTGTTTGGAAATCAGAAGAATAGCAGCCACAGAGCTCAGTGCTTATGTTACCTGGCCTTCTGTTTAGCAAAATTTTCAATTGGTTTGATATGATATTATACCAAGCCTTACAGATTGTTTACCACCCTAACATGAGTCACTTGGCTTTTTTTTGAGTAAAAGGTCTCAAATTTTTTGTGGATGTCAATATAAGAACATATTTGACTGTCTAGACATGAAAGGAAAATTTTAGCAGATTAAATTTGCAATTACCATTTGGAGTAGAAGCCTGACTTATATCACTTCCTTCAACCGAGTAGCCAGAAGAGGATGAATAATCAGATGGAGTCTCAGTCGCAGAATCAGAATTTCCACCCCCCTTACTGCCAGACCTTCTCGATCTACTATCCCCAAATTTAGGCCCTGATGTAGGAAGCACTCCTCTCTTTGGTGTACAATCCTCGGGGTCTCCAGTTCTCATTTTTGTATTTTTGGTAGCCAAACTTTGGATTTCGGAACCTGTTTGCTGTCTTCTGTTCTCGGGGAATCTATCAGAACCTCTTGAGCTTGAGCTGGACATAGATTCCTCCATAGGTTCTTTACAATCCTTTTCGGAAGCAGGAGCATCAAAAGTTGCAAGCATTCCAGTGTCTTCAAGAGTTTTATCTCCCTGAACGCTAGAGTGACTTGGAACTGTCACCTCAGTTCTTGAGTTCAAGATATCTTCCGAAGTGCCCCCAGAAATCACTCCATCCTTCTTTGATTTTCTGCCAGCTTTTATGTCTCTGTTTGATTTCGTTGGTTTCTTTGATGCAACTTCACCCCGTTGTTGACCAGGAATAAAATATTTCTTGAAGTTTATACTCTCGCTTTTATCAGTATTAATTTCAGGCTCATGCGTCTCCTCTAACTTACCCTTGGCCAAAGGATGAGATGGCACACGAAAAGAGTTAGCATTTCTTAACTCCTTCCCAGAACTCTTTGAATTGGAGTCAGTACCAGGATTTCTCTGATTTTCCAACTTGGTAATATCCAACCGATCAACATTAGTATTTTTACCTGACTCAATTATCTCCATTGGCTCTGGCAGAGGGCTCACGTCTCTCGGATTATCATTTGAAGCTGCTAATTCTTTGTGACTGACTTCCTGGTCTTGAATAGCCAAATCAGATTTACTCTTCTTAGAACTTTGGCTCTTTTTGGTTTTGGTTTTCAGTTTCCTTTCTACAAGGCTTACAGTCTCCTGATTTTTACCAGTTTGGTTAAGCAGCAAATGCTCAAACTCATTTTCCTTCTCCTCAACAGGAAGAAGCTCTGCCTCAATGAGGGTTGTCTTCTCAACGTGTTGATGAGAACCTGCAGCATAGGCAATCTTTGACTCTTGTTCTGAAGCTCCCTTTCTTTCGGTGGCGGGCAATGCATCTTTATCTTGATTAGACCCTTGAAAGAAATGATTAGCTGGAGGATCATGCATTGCCGAAGGGGCACATGAAACATCAATATTACTGGTGGCAACCTCCTTCCTTTTTGCCTTCTTTTTCTTACTTCGACCAGAGTTTTCATGTCCTTCAGCAACCTTCACATCAGATGGAGCTGCAGAGACAGTTTCCACTTCCTTAATGGTCATTTCTGCTTTGGCATGATCTGAAGATTTGCATGTTGCAGATTGAACTTGCATGAGATCCTTGTTATGAGACGACCCTTTCACCTCTGTATCTAGACAAATCTGCAGCTTTCCAGCATCAGACGAAATTTCAACTTTCTTACTCTGCTCAGTTACAGGACCAGCTATAGGTCCAATTCCTGCAGCTAAAGAGGGGCAGTTCACCCTACTGTCATCCTCTCCATCTAATTTATCAGGAATCTTTTCAGCAGATTGCCTGCGACTCTTTTTCTTCCGCTTCGTGCTGCTTGCATTTCCAGATTCAATGTTCCCCTTGTCATCCAATGACTTTTCAGCTGAGAGAAATTGTTCTTTAGATGCCCCAGTTGCTTTATTGTTATCTGAAGGAAGGGAGGTCTCAGCACCTTGAGTAACTGACAACTTGCATCTTTTCCCTATTTCGTTTATATCAGCTTTTGGCACAATACTTCCACCAGCCTTTGTAGTTGCATCACCAGAACCATCATGGCGGACTATATCTTGCTCAGATGCACTAGTATTTTTAGAAGCCTCAACAATATTTTTCATATCTAACTCATGACGACGAGTTGACTTCTTGGCCTTGCTTTGCTTCCTCCCAATTCTATTCTCTGCTGCTCCTTGCGAATGTGCCAACAGGAAGGAAGACACTGGATCCTTGGTACTTGCATCGCCCAACTTCTCACTCATCCGCATTTCAAAATCACAGTTCGATGTCAGCTCCTCTTGTTCTCCAGTTGTATTAGCACCATCAGTTCTAGGTTCATTATCTCCTGAGAGAATAGATTCACACATAGGTTGGCCAACTGAATACATTTCATAGAACTCCTTGCTGACTGGTGCTGGCCACTCTTTGTTTGAAGTTTGATTTTTAACTGGAGATGTTTCTTGGAGTCCAGATTGAGTAACATGAATAGTACAGTCAACATCAGTCAACTTGTCACAGATCTTCATTTCAACTCCTTCATTTTGCTCTAACCTCCTATTCCCCTCAAGTTTTTCATCGGAACTCAGAACCATACAGGCAACTTCATCATGGCACATGGATGAGCCCTTTCCCTTCTTCTTTTTGCTCTTCTTATGGGCTGTATCTGTTCCCACAGATTGGTCTCCCAATGCGTCTGCTAAAGCTGACTTTATTGGTCTATGTGCTGTGGAGTTCTCTGGAATTGCGACCATCAAGACATCCCTATGATTGAACTTGGTGGGACCTCGACTGCTTTTCTTGGTACCCAATTTTTTCACTTTACTTTCAATGGTCCCAGACTTCGATGTTTCGTCAAGTGTATCATTGTTCCTATTTCCACATTGCTCATCCTGCACACCAGAGATTTCAGCACTTGCCCCACCCAGCCTACATTTCTTCTTTCCCAGTTTTGATATCTTACTGGGATCAGAAGGTTGGTTTCTTAAAGGTTCAGCACTGGCATCTTTCAGTTTCATGTTTATAGTCACCCATTGTTCTTCATCACAATTTGTCGAAGTAGTATCATTTCCAACAATCTTATAATCAAAATCATCATTACCTACACCATGCTTTGAAGCGTGGGTATCTGTTACCGGGTGGTTGACTATATCTTCTGTATGCTTCATTTTACACTTCTTTGCCACAGGACCAGCTCTAGGAGAAAGTTCCTGTGATTCATCCATGGGCTTCACACTCTTGAATTCACCAACGGCCTTGGCGACATCCTTATCTTTCACGATGGAGCTTGATGCCAAGTTTCCGTGAGCCGGGTCAGGTTCATTAGTATCAAAAACCTTCTGTTTAGCCATTGCTTTGAATGAATCACTAGGGAGAAGATAGTCAGCTCCATTTTGCGGATATGTGATACGAAGTAAGCCTTGGTCACAGCTAGAAGCATCAACAGAAAGGAACCAACCCTTTTTGATACCCTCAAACACACTAGTGACAAGCATACTATCAGGCAGGTGATAATAATGTCCTTTCCGTTTCACCTGTTAGGAAATAGAAATAATTAAAATCATCATTACGGTACAAGAATATACACAAGAAAAAATAGTGAGTTGGAGGATTAGAAACAAACCTTCACAGAAGAAATCTTCAACTCCCTCTTCTCAGGAAAGCACCTTAAATGTTCAAATACAATCTTTTCTGCATAACACAAAAACGCATATCAGGCAATTGAACTCTTTAGTAACTTAATCATTCCTCGATCAAGAGTTTAAATATCAATTATAAGCAAACTAGAACTAGCAAAGAAAAATTTTATACTCTGAATAATAAATGAATTTAAGTTATATACACATGACAATTTAAAAAAATTTTACATTATCAATGTATTTTACCTGTGATAACAAGGCCAATTTTACATTGTCAATGTATTTTACCTGTGATAACAAGGCCAATTACCATTTTACCATATTACCAATTAATATTTATCAAGAGATTTACCTAATTACCTAATAAGGGACCTGATTGTGTAAAAAAATTTCTACACTGTAATTTAATCTCATACAGAATTAACCAACATTTACCTTGTTGCCAGAGCCACACCCAACATATATTCAGTGGGTGCACGTGTCCCCAACGCCTCGAGATTTCTTTTAATTGAACTAAGAGTAATTTTACTAACAGAGGTATCCAGGGATTAAAATGTATAAAACAGCTTCCAGTATAAATAATAACTACCTTTGAGATCAGAGACATAATCGGAGTCGGAGACAATTAAAGCCAAGTGGGTATCAAGGTTGGTATCCACGAAAACCGTGTTGTACAACGTCTCAGGTTCGGTTTCTTCGCGACGCCGTCTCACCATGATTGGTCGACGGCAGCAGAGCTCCGGAAAAACTGACGATTAAAAGCTGAAATGACCAAGGGTTTTAACTCCTGTGGGTGCGAATTTGGTGAAAATGAAATGAAGGGTTTAACGCCCAATTGAAGGGGTCTTTGCCGCCAATTGTAATGGGCCTGCCCTTGCTTTATTCAAAAGCCCAAAGCCAATAAAATAGTTAAAATAGCACGGTCTGGCCAGTTTTCGGACTGGTCATTCAAAAATAGCCAGCGTTTGTCAAGTTATTGAAAAATAGCCAATATTTTGCTGCAACAGAGACCGATCCAGCATAATATACTAGAGTTCGGTGCACCTGTGTATGAACTTCCAGCATATTATGCTGGACCGGTATACTTTGCAGGATCCAGTATAATGTACTGCAGACTGGAGCACCGGTGCTCCAAAATTCAGTATATTATGCTAGAGTATTTTTTCGTATTTTGAGCAGTGTTTTCGTTCAGATTTATCTTTACGTGAAAAGTGGCTAAATTTCGATTACTTTTGAAACTCTGGCTATTTTTGAATGATCACTTGTAAATCTGGCTATTTTTTAATTTCTCTCAATAAAATAAGAACAAAAATGATTTTTGCATCTATACCCGATTTTGGGGTCATAATTGAACCTATACCCACTTTACAAAAAAAATTGCAAGCCTGCTCACTTTATGATCAACTTCAGACTTATCAGGTCTGAAGTTAAAAAAATTAGTCTGACATGAAAATATTGCACTTAAGGCCAAATAGGTCTGAAGTGCATGTGTAACCAATGATTTCATGCACTTAAGTCCAATAAGTTTGAAGTTGTCACGACCCGGATTTACCACCCTCGGGAGTCGTGATGGCACCTATTCATGAAAGCTAGGCAAGCCGAGTGTTACAAATTTTATTACCTTTTTTCATTAACCTTTTAACAATTACAAATTTACATATGATCAACGGCGGAATAATAATAATAATAATAAGAAATGCGGAAGACGAAATCTAAGAATTTAACTTAATAGAAATACGATTCCATAGAAATAATCCGCCCAAAACTGGTGTCACAATCTCACGGACTATCTGAGAATACTACAAATAGGGCCTGAACAAAGAAAATACATGTATGTCTCTGAAATAGAAAAGAACAGAAAGAAACAAGATAGATAGGGGACGCCAAGGCCTGCGGACGCCTGCAGGACTACCTCGGGTCTCCGATGGACTAAAGGCAGCAACCCCTAGCTAAGGTTTGTATGCTCAAGTATCGGGATCTGCACAAAAGAATGCAGAGTGTAGTATCAGTACAACCGACCCCATGTACTGAGTAAGTGTCGAGCCTAACCTCGGTGAAGTAGTGACGAGGCTAGGACACAATAAACAACATAACCTGCAGTTAAACAGTATCTGGCAGAATAACAGTAATAGAAGCAATTCACAAGTAATGGGGAGGGGTAACATGCTATGGGGGAATACCAACATAAAGAATCACAGAAATAACGGAATGAAACAATTAAGGCACTTGAACCGATAACAACAAGAAAGCATAACAAACTGGAAATAAGTGCACGGCATCGCCCTTTGTGCTTTTACTCTCAATCCTCACCATGCAACCAATAATGAAAATATTCACGGCATCACCCTTCGTGCTTTATCTCTCTTCCTCACCATATGCATCAATATTAATGTAAATGTACACGGCATCACCCTTCGTGCTTTATCTCTCTTCCTCACCACATGCATCAATATCAATGTAAATGTACACGGTATCACCCTTCGTGCTTTATCACTCTTTCCTCACCCAAACAACGGCAACAACAACATCCCGACAAGAAAATCAACAATAAGAATAAGTACAACCCGACAAGGGAATCAACAATAAGAATAAAATACGTCACGGTAAGGGAATCAACTATAACCAAACTTGTACCAACAATTAACTTCACAAATGAACCTCAACTGGAGCCAATGCTCAACAATAAACAAATACCAAGAAGATAATCATAAGTCTTGCTCAACATGGATAATCAACAATTTAGGCATTTGTAGTACTTATTAAGAAACACAACGATCACACTTTAAGATTCACGGGCATGCTTGACACCAACGTATAGATACTCGTTACCACACTTATACATCGTACACTACACTAGCACATAGCAAATAAAGCACAACACCTATTCCCTCAAGCTAAGGTTAGACTAAACACTTACCTCGATTCCACGGCCACGAATCAAGCCTCAACTATCGCTTTCCCCCTTGATTCCACTTCCAATTCAAATGTATCTAGCCAATATTAACTTATTGACATCAATAAATGCTAAAGAATTCATACCCAATGTTTAATTGTAGCTTTCCTAACATTTTTCCCAAAAATCCAAAAATCGATTCCGGACCCGCTTGGTCAAAACTCGAGGTTCGGACCAAAATTCAAATATACATTCACCCACGAGCCCAAATATGCAATTAGTTTTGGAATCCGACCCCAAATCGAGGTCTAAATCCCCAAATTTGTAAAATCCCTAATTCTTTTAAAATCACTAATTTCTACCCTTAAATAACAAGATTTAGGCCTAGAAATCTAATGGGTGTTGATGAAAAATGAAGGAAATGAGTCTAAGAATACATACCTATAGTTTGGTGGTGAAATCCTTCTTCAAAAATCGCCCAAGGTCTGATTTTATGGAAGAAGATATAAAAATATGGCTAAATTCCCGTTCTGGTTCTGTTTTAAGTGTTATGCGACAGTGTTCATCGCGTTCGCGAAGAGCTGTCATCTGAGGACTTACGCGATCGCCGGAGAAGCTACACGTTCGCGAAGGCTTAGCCCAGCCCTGCCTTCGCATTCGCGATAAAGGGCTCGCGTTCGCGTAGTTCTCCCCTAGGTTCCCTGACCAGCCCATCCTAAAGCTACGCGTTCGCGGTTGACCGGTCGCTTTCGCGTAGAGCAGTCCCCCCCAATGCTCCGCGTTCGTGACCTTGGTCTCGCGTTCGCATAGGGTAAAATCCTCCCCAACCTAGTTTCCCTTTCGCGATCGCGAAGCATGGTGCATCAGACACCAGATAAAACAACTATACCAGATTTTTCTAAGTAAAAAACACCCCGAAGACTCCCCGAAACTCACCTGAGCCCTCGGGGCTCCAAACCAAACATGCACACAATCCTAAAAACATCATACGAACTTGCTCGTGCGATTAAATCGCCAAAATAACACCTAGAACTACAAGTTTAGCATCAAAATCAAAGGAAAAATCTCAAGAACTCTTAAGTTCAAATTTCACAACCGATGGTCCGATTCATGTCATATGAATTCCGTTTCTTACCAAATTTTACAGGCATAACTTAAATACCATATTAGACATGTACCGGGCTCCGAAACTAAAATACGGGCCCGATACCATCAAATTCAAACATCTTTAAATTTTCAAAATTTCAGTTAAATAATTTTCTTCAAAAATTCGTTTCTCGGGCTTGGGACCTCGGAATTTAATTTCGAGACCGTCAAATCACGGGTCCGGATCCGTTTACCCAAAATATTGACGGAAGTTAACTTAAATTCAATTTTAAAGGCAAAATTAGTATTTTCCTCAAATTTTCACATAAAAGCTTTCCGGATATACGTCCAGACTGCGCACGCAAATTGAAGTAAGAGAAAAGGAGGGTTTTAAGGCCTCAGAATACAGAATTGACTTTTAAGAGAAGTGATGACCTTTTGGGTCATCATAGAAGTGAAAAGTTGCATTTTAGATACACTTAAGACCAAAAGGTCTAAAGTGAAACAAACATTTTTCTACACTTAAGGCAGTAAGTCTAAAGTAAAAAATTGCACTTCAGATGCACTTAAGGCCAAATAGGTCTGAAGTAAAACCAATGGTTTCATGCACTTAAGGTCAATAAGTCTGAAGTGAAAAATTACATTTCAGATGCACTTAAGGCCAAAAGGTCTGAAGTGCAACAAACGTTTTCCTACACTTAAGGACAATAAGTCTGAAGTGAAAAATTACACTTCAGATGTACTTAAGGCCAAAAGGTCTGAAGTACAACCAAACGTTTTCATGTACTTAAGGCCAAATAGGCCTGAAGTGCAAATTGCGCAGAAACAAAAATTTGTTCTTCGAATTTTAACAATTCAATATACAATTTAATGCCTAAATCTACTCCAAATGAGCTCAAATGTGAAACACAACCTCTAAATATCATCTAGAACGAACCGTAATCATCAATTTGTCAAAACAATAATAAATCTAACGAAGCAAAACCTAAGTAATAGTAAAAAATAAAGTGTCACAACAGCTCACCATTGTAAAACATCATAAACTACCTTAAAATATATTTACAAAAATCTTATAAAATCACTATTACCCGAAGAAGAAGAAGAAGGAGGAGGAGAAAAAAGCCTGAAGTTGTATAGACAGTGAGTACAAATTAAATAAAATTTAAAAAGTGGATACAAGTTAAATGAGGGCGACCAAATAGGCATCCAATGCAATTTTTACGAAAAAATAACACTTAAAGCCCCCTTTAAAGACTTAATGATCAAATACTCCCTTTTCTCGAAAAAACAAAAATGAAACATGCCCCTTTCGAATATTTTAAGACCAGATTGTCCCCTCATTTCTATGCCTATGCTTCACCAAATTTCTTTCTCCTTCTTTTCTTTGTTTTTCTCACGTTCTTTTTGTCTTTTTATTTTTTTTGTTTTTTATATATATTTTTTTCACTTTGTTTTTTTTCTTCTTTCTAATGAAATTATGCACTCTTATCCATTCTTTCTTATTTATTTATTTTTGTAATTATTTTCTCTTTTTGTTATTCTTTCTAGTAGTAACCAATTCAGTCTTTTTTACTTATTTTTTAATCTTAGTTTTTATTTATTGGTGTGTTTGTTTTTCTCTTAATTTTATTCTTTCCACTAAAATCTCCTAGTCTAAAATATTTTGTAACTTTTTTTCTTTTTTATTATTATTTTTTATCGTAATGTTTTCTATTATTTTCTCATCCGCCAAAAATTATTATTGCTTTCTTTTATTATTATTTTAATTTATTTTTTAAAATAAATAACTGAATCTTAAAATTTCTACCGTGGTACTTTCTACACAATCAGTAGTCTATTA